GACACTGTGGTTAGGTGTTGTCAGGCATGGCTTCGAGAAGGCCGTACGCAAAGAGCAAGAGGCACTGGACGCCGCCGTAGAACAACAGACCGTGAAGATCGCCGCCTAAGATTATTGGCCTTAAGGGACCGTTTCTCCACTACCAGGTCCATTGCAAATGAATGGTTTGCAGAACACGGAAGACCTATTGGCATGCGAAGTGTTTATCGACGAATGAGAAGTTTTGGCTTGTTTTCATACCGGCCACACTGGGTCCTCCCTTTAACTCGAGAACACCGACGTAACCGCCTTGAGTGGTGCAGACAACGGACACTCTGGGATCAGGAAGGGAACAGTATTGTCTTTAGTGACGAGTCTCGATTTTGTTTACGCATGCACGATGGTCGTGCCAGGGTTAGAAGGCGACGTGGTGAAAGGAGGAATCCACAGTTTTTTGTTGAAAGACATGTTCATCAGACTGTTGGAGTTATGGTTTGGGGTGCTATAGCTTATGGTTTCAGCTCACCTTTAATCTTCATCAGAGGTAACATGAACACGCAGCGTTATATCCACGAAGTTCTAGAACCCCATCTTTTACCCTATCTTGACACCCTGGCAGATCCAACTTTCCAACAAGATAATGCCCGACCACATGTTGCAAGAGTCACAATAGACTTCTTTCAACACAATGATGTCACATTGTTACCATGGCCACCAAGATCTCCCGACTTATCCCCAATTGAGCACGTGTGGGATATGATGGGTAGGAGATTGCTCAATTTGCAACATCCTCCTCAGATTCTAGAAGCACTTCGAGAGGAGTTGGTGGTTGCCTGGAATGAGATACCACAGGAGGGCATTGACCACCTGATCAGAAGCATGCCTAGGCGCGTTGGAGAATGCGTAGCACATCAGGGTGCATCCACACATTATTAAAGGTCAAAGGGCTTTAAAGCAGTGCAATCATTTTGAATTTTTTATCATTTACTTATTATGCTTCATTAAGTACTTACACAAAATTTTATTGAAATAATGTCACTTAGTATATAAACACCGCTGTGTATGCACCGAATATGAACAGCAACTGCAGGCATAAATGGACTTCGAACAGCGTATATTCAGCCAAGATTTCCCTCCTCCCTTTTTTCTAAGACTCCTGGCCTATAGAATGCCGGCCCGGCAGGTTGTCTTCTGACTTCCCATAAATCTCCGATCTTAATCCGACCCGCTCCTTCGCCCTTAAACTCCTTAATCAGTTCATAATTTTCTTGGAAATTATCCGGACATTTCCTATCTACCGTTTAATATTTCACCCCGCTGGCTCACACTGAAGATCGCAGCTATGCACGAACGTGCTTACGGTGCAATTCCACGCTGGTTATTAAAAAATCGATGTGCACCAAGTTCATTATTCACACCACAACCTATTTATGACCAACATAATAACTTAGACAGCAGTTTGTGATGTCGTATTTCGATATACCATACCTCAGATAGAGGAGACTGCTCGGCTATTCTTCGTTGACCTACTTAGAGGCCAAGTCTAGTCCGCGCTATCGCCAATAAGCATGAAACTTTTTTTTATTAGTTCTGTTAGACCATCACAAGATGATATAAAACACGTCAATGGAGACAATAGTGTAAAAAATATACAGAAAATAAATAAGTAGATAACGCACATGTATCGAAATTAAACAAAAATTGAAATATAAAATAGACAAACATTTAACTAAAAACAAACATTGAAAAAACGTGGTAGACGCAGATTCAAATTTCGCTATGTTTAAATTATATATACTAAGTGACATATAAATCCGAACACCCAGTTTAAATGGTTTTATTTTAATAAAATTTTGTATAAGTACTTAATGAAGCATAATAAGTAAATGATAAAAATTTCAAAATGATTGCACTGCTTTAAAGCCCTTTGACCTTTAATCATGTGTGGATGCACCCTGATGTGCTACGCATTCTCCAACGCGCCTAGGCATGCTTCTGATCAGGTGGTCAATGTCCTCCTGTGGTATCTCATTCCAGGCAACCACCAACTCCTCTCGAAGTGCTTTTAGAGTCTGAGGAGGACGTTGCAAATTGAGCAATCTCCTACCCATCATATCCTACACGTGCTCAATTGGGGATAAGTCGGGAGATCTTGGTGACCATGGTAACAATGTGACATCATTATGTTGAAAGAAGTCTATTGTGACTCTTGCAACATGTGGTCGGGCATTATCTTGTTGGAAAGTTGGATCTACCAGGGTGTCAAGATAGGGTAAAAGATGGGGTTCTAGAACTTCGTGGATATAACGCTGCGCGTTCATGTTACCTCTGATGAAGATTAAAGGTGACCTGGAACCATAAGCTATAGCACCCCAAACCATAACTCCAACAGTGTGATGAACATGTCTTTCAACAAAAAACTGTGGATTCCTCCTTTCACCACGTCGCCTTCTAACCCTGGCACGACCATCGCGCATACCTAAACAAAATCGAGACTCGTCACTAAAGACAATACTGTTCCATTCCTGATCCCAGAGTGACCGTTGTCTGCACCACTCAAGGCGATTACGTCGGTGTTCTCGAGTTAAAGGGAGGACCCAGTGTGGCCGGTATGAAAACAAGCCAAAACTTCTCATTCGTCGGTAAACACTTCGCATGCCAATAGGTCTTCCGTGTTCTGCAAACCATTCATTTGCAATGGACCTGGTAGTGGAGAAACGGTCCCTTAAGGCCAATAATCTTAGGCGGCGATCTTCACGGTCTGTTGTTCTACGACGGCGTCCAGTGCCCCTTGCTCTTTGCGTACGGCCTTCTCGAAGCCATGCCTAACAACACCTAACCACAGTGTCTACACTTCTTTGCACTCTAACTGCAATTGCCCGAAAAGAAAGTCCAGCTTCCCGAAGTCCCACTATACGGCCCCTATCAAACTCACTAAGTTGACGAAATCGTACAGGTCTCCGTACTCTAGGCATCGTAACCGATCGTAAAGAATGTCAAGAACCAAAATCCGCCAACGTTGATTCTTTACTGCGGCCGAAATATTCATTTTTAGAGCGTTAGTGAATTAAAAAAAAGCAGTATAAAAACCGGAATGTCCAACTGATAAGGCTGAACATTTTTTCACTTGTTATTTACAGTAAGATAAATACATTCACCAACTTTTATTAAAATAAAACCATTTAAACTGGGTGTTCGGATTTATATGTCACTTAGTATATTTGTTATCATTTATCACAATATCTCAATATTTTTTCGATTAATGTAAAATAAACTATGAAAGCCAAATAAACACCAAAAAACAAAAAACTGCAGTCATAGACGTTTTGCGATTACTGCGTTACGTTTGGAAATAAACCTGTCGAATTTACAGAACGGCGTGGAAAGCCGATCGAAGTGTTTTCCACTTTGACAGGCCTATTTCAACCAGCTGCCTGAACGAACCAAGCGTCGCGCCTCCTCGTTGGGACGCAGTAAAAAGGGTTCGGATAACAAAAACTTAATTCCGATGGAATGCAATAAAAGAGCAAGAATGTCTGCGGATCGGAACGGCTGGAAATAAAGGAACATCTTTGTTTGCCGGATGCCGATGTCTCCCTGCTCAACGACGTCTTGATTGAGGAGCTCAGACATCCCGACGTACCCATGACGTAACACGTTGAAGAAACAAGTTTTCACAATTTTCATACCGCTGAATCTATGAGTATAATCCCAATAATGTATTAGGCCAAGAAGTATCTTCACATACGTTCGGACAAAATATTTTGATTAGTTTTTTCGCATAATCTTCGGTTACTGAAGAGGGTTCTGGCGTCGGGGTCTTTGGGCCTATTCCCGAAGAACAAAATTGATGGCAGTGACTCATCTATGCTGCTGCAAAACAGCCGTTGGCAGATTTCAAAAAAGTACGAACTAGTAAACGTATATTCAGATGGAAGAACAGTAGCTGGCACAATGGGAAACTTCTAGATCAGTGCTCGCCAACCCGTCGAACGCTGGCCCTTAAGTTCTGCAGAGCTGCAGAACTGCTAAAACTTTTGTCTTAACAGAAAAAAGCAGTAGTAATTTGATCATTATTTATTTTCCATGTTATCACACAAATAGAAACAATACCGGCAAAGCTGCCCCCGCAAGACACGGCGTCGAGTCTGTTTTGTATTGAGAAAGCATTATAATCGACCAATTGTGTACTTGTCATTTTCGTCGCGACCGCAGCGTAACATTATTCATGGGCCACTTGAAAAGGGTCTATGCACTACTTCGACACAAGCCGCACGCGCTTGATTTTTTCTCTCTCTACAAAATCAAATGCGCGATTTAAGCATAAGCATGTGCTGCGCGTTAGTGTACGTGCACATAGCAAGAGGAAGCGAGCGAGTCGTTGCGATACGTAGCGATGCGAGATCGAACGCTAGAGATTGCTGTGCATATTGAACGCGTTTGAAAAGGCGGAATTTTTATCACTTTCCCACAGTAGTCAGTGAACAGTCGCGATGGATACAGCGTTATTATTATTATTGGAGAATCCTCTAATAAAACGACGTTTAGCCAAGAAAAGAAGATTTTGGACACATAACATCAATCGTTCGAGAGAAAGATTTGGAGAGTTCTTTCATTTGTATAAAAGTTTACAAGAAGACTCCGAAAGGTTTTACAGATATTTTCGGATGAAGGAGAGTACTTTTTCTTATATTTTAGAAAAAGTAGAATGGCGAATCAAGAAACAAAATTCAAATTTCCGAAAAGCCATCAGTCCTATTGAAAAGCTAGCATTAACCTTGAGGTTTGTATTATATTAAATATCTACCTACTCAAAGAGAAAAATATTGCATGTTTTATATTATCTCATTTTTATGTTTATTTTTATTCTCTGGTGCGCTAATCCATCCTTAACATTATTGTATTAGTAATAAATTGTAATGTACGAGAAGCAGTATAGCATGAGTAATACAAAATAAAAAGAAACAATCCGAAGAAAAAGATCAACTATTTAAAATAAAAAAATTAAATATTTTTGTCTGGGTATATTCATAGTATTTTCCGCTTAATGGCTTAAACTTTATTTCTCCTATACTGAGTAATTACATTCTACTGTAATAATAATAGGTCAGTATCATGGCTGTTACTAGCTGACGTATTGGAATAAACCGAAGATGTAGACGGTGGATTTATGTACTGAGTGCTTTGACTGGGAACGAATGTGTTAACTGCAGAATTTTGAACATTTAAACCGCTTGTTGTATTTTGCTGGTATTGGTTTGCACTGATAATTTCAGTATAAAGTAATTCCTGTATTTTAAAGCGAATAAACATTTGTCGATCAATCGGAAGATCCTTGAGAGGTTTGTGAAGGCTCATTAAAAAGAAATATAAATCATCTTCTGTTTTTGATTCTGGGATATTCTGTGCTAGTTGTGTCTCAATCATTCGAATCTTCTTTTTTTCTAGATTTAACAATTCATAGTCAATCCCAGAGCCCCTCTTTCTTTTTGTGTAACTACTGGTTTTTGATGCGGTCGGTGTATCTTGATCCGTAGCTGGAGTTTGGCCTTCTATCTCTGAATTTTCTTCAATTTCTGTGACATCATCTATCTCTTGCGTATCTCTTTGCGAATCTTCAGACAGTGCGCATGATGGACCAGTGGTGACAGTGCAAGAGCTTTGAAGACTGCTGCTCATTTTTCTTGAAACCATTTGATCCTTTAGAAACAACAGGTTTTTAAACCACACCCAGTTGGACCCATGATCTGCTTGGCTGCCGCCAGCGTCTCCTGATTTTCCTTTATTTATTTTTCTCATTTCTGCCCGAAAATTGTCTCTCAGGTTTTTCCACTTTGTTTTAGCAATTTCAACTGAAAATAAAAATTATATATATATATGAAAAAAATTAGCAGTTAGATTGATGGATAAGACTAAGAAACTTGAGTATTGAATTAAACATTTTTTTTTCAGGTTTTTAGCTACTGGATTATCATATAGAGCACTCGCAGACTCTTTCAGGATGGGTTTTTCGACTGTAGCAAGTATAGTGAAAGAAGTTTGTACCGCAATATGGGAGGAACTACAACCAATTCATCTTGGGATACCTTCGGAACAAGATTTGTTAGAGATAAGCAGACATTTTTATAAGAAGTGGAATTTTCCAAATTGTTTTGGGTGCATAGATGGAAAACATATAAGAATAAGATGTCCATCGAATACTGGAACAAGTTATTACAATTATAAACAGTATTTCTCTATTGTTTTACAAGCAGTAGCCGATGCTAACTGCCGCTTCATTTTTATCGACACAGGTGCCTTCGGTAAACAATCAGATGGTGGAATATTTCGAGAAAGTGCTTTATATCAGCATTTAGTTACTGGAAAGTTAAATATACCAGCAGATCGTAATTTACCAAACTCAGATACAAAGCTACCATATGTTTTATTAGGAGATGAAGCCTATCCACTTCTGAATCATTTGTTAAAACCATATCCACGAAAAAATTTAGATGCACAGAAGACAATTTTCAACTATAGACTTTCAAGAGCACGAAGAGTTGTCGAATGTGCCTTCGGAATCCTTGCTGCAAAATGGCGTATTTTAACAAAAGCAATAGAAACATCTCCAGAAAATGCCGAAAAAATTGTTAATTGCATTTGTGTGTTGCACAATATAATTATTGATAAAGAAGGTATTGCCCTAATAGAAGAACCAAAGGAAAGCACAGATTCAAAGAAAAATAGGAAAAATAATAGTTCTACAGAACAAGCTAGGGATATAAGGAATTGTTTTATGCAGTATTTCAATAATGAGGGCGCTGTCCCGTTTCAATATAATGTTTTATGAATAAATTATATCATTATATGAACATGTGTTTACTACTTACTTGTTATTCCACAAGAAGCTGCTATTTCCTGCCACATTTTCGATATTACATCACGATTATGATGTAAATGATTTGTTTGATCCCATATAGGGGTTCGCAAGAATATCTCATTAATCAATTTCTCGATATCCACCATATTAAATCCGTCCTCTCCAACGCTCAAAGACAAACTGATTTGTTTTGGAGCGGATCGCTCGCCGCGGACTCGTTACGACCTGCTACGGCTCGCTACGGCTCGACACCAGTATGCACCCTCGCATTGAATTATATTAGTTTGTATTTTCCGCCTTGCTCGCAACGCTACGCCTCGCTTGAATCCGCCTTGTATGTGCACGTACACTTAGATCCGTACAGATCTAATGCGAAGTACGATATCTGATTTATAGGTCCGTGCTCGGTATAAAATCGGAGCATTTGAATTGGCGCTACGGAGCCATGACGACACCGAGAGCTCCCAAAACCCGGCAATATTTCGTGGACTGATTAATTTTTCTGCTGAGCTTGATACAACCTTAAGCGAACACATAAAAAATGCTTGAATATTTAAAGGAAAGAAATACAAAACGGTCTACTGGATTGTATTCTTGAAGTTTGTCATGAAGAAATAATAAAAACAGACTAACACAGCTTCGTATTTGGCGATAATAGCAGATGAAACAACGGCCATTTCGGGGAAAACCCAACTCCTAACAATTTTCAGATACGTATTAAACGGCGAACCAGTAGAACGTTTTTGGAATTATATGAATCCCAAAAAACGTGACGCTGATAGTCTTACAAGACATATTTTGAGCGTCGTAGATCGCTTAATAGGAAATTTCCCTAACAAAGCTATGATGGAGCCGCGGTAGTGAGCGGACATAATGCTAGAGTACAGGCAAAAATTAAACAAAGATATCCATTTGCTCACTATGTGCATTGCTATGCGCATCAGTTCTTTGCGGATTTGAAAGATATTCCGGGGTTTTTTAATAATTCTCCTCAACGCGTAGAGGTACTGAACAGAATTTTGAGGAAAAAAATTCCCCAAGGAGCAACAACTCGTTGGAATTTTAATATTCGAACAATAAATGTAGTGTTTGAGAACAGAGAATCACTCATTGAATGCATGGAAGAAATAGAAGAAAATTTCACTAATGAAACCGTTTGCAAGGCAGCTTGCGGTATACGCCGTATGTTAAACGATTCTGTTTTCGTGTTTTGGTTGACATTTTTTGATCATGTCATGCCTCACGTCGACAACTTGTTCAACCAGTTGCAGAAGAGAAAAACCGAGCCAGCGCAAGTTAAAACGGCTATCGATAATTTTGAAAAATGTATGTCGATGTGAGATATAAAATTGATGACATAATAAATGAAGCCAAAAGTATTTGCACTGAACCCCAAGGCAACAAATGGAGACGACGTAATAATAGCAGTCACGATCACCGAGTTGCCGCATTATTGATGGAGAGGTGCATAAATCGCGAGCTTCTGGACTACCTCGAACGTCACAGCTTGATTAGCGACAGGCAGTACGGTTTCCGGCACCAGCGATCCACAGGGGACCTCCTAGCTTACGTCACGCAACTGTGGAGTAAACTCATCCAGTCTCATGGTGAGGCTCATGTCGTTGCTCTTGACATCACGAAAGCGTTCGATCAGCTGTAGCACGCTGCCCTCTTGAGCAAACTTCCATCCTACGGCCTCCCAGAAAAGCTTTGCAGATGGGTGGCTGACTTTATCTCTGGCCGCAAGATATCCGTCGTAATTGACGGATTCTCCTCTTCATCCCACAACGTCAACGCGGGTGTTCCCCAGGGATCGGTCTTGGCTCCAACACTGTTTCTCTTACATATCAACGACCTCCTTTCCTGCACGATCAACCCAATCCACAGCTTCGCTGATGACAGCACTCTACATGCAGGAATTCAGAGTGACAAGCCGATCTCTGCCGCTGAGCTCGAAAAAAGTAGACTAGCGACGACTTCTTCTCTGACAAGAGACCTGGAGGCTATCACTGCTTGGGGACGCAACAATCTTGTACAGTTCAATGCTTCCAAAACACAGTACTGTACTTTGACGAACAAAAAGCGTCCTAGCGCTCATACAGTTTCGATGGACGGTCGAGTTCTACCAAAGAGCCATTCATTTCGGCTGGTCGGAGTCCAGATCACCGAGGACCTGATCTGGCACGAACACATCTCTTCAATAGCTGCAGCTGCTGGGAAAAAGCTAGGTTATTTGTTTAGGGCTAAGAAGTACTTTTCTCCGCATGACCTTCTCACTCTATACAAGGCCCAGATAAGGCCTAGCCTCGAGTATTGCTCACACATTTGCCCCGCCCGACTACATTGTCCATGCTCGATGCTGTCCAGAGGAGGGCGGTCCGACTGATCGATGACTGTTCTCTAACAGGCAGTCTCGGGACTCTTTCGCACCGGCGGGCCGTCGGCGATCTAGCTCTTTTCTATCGCTACACCAACGGGCTTTCCTCCTCAGAGCTCTCCTCCATGATGCCGCCGCGCGATGTGCCTGCCAGACAGACCCGCCTGACTTCGACGTCCCATCCTAACCGTGTCAAACTTCGTACATCCAGAACTGGCCGATACGACCGCTCCTTTGTCCCGAAGGTGTCTAGATTGTGGAACAAACTACGGGAGGAAGCTTTTCCCAGTTCTACTAACCTTAGGCAGTTCAAAAATCGTATTAACAAAATTTCTTTGGGATCATCATAGCAGCCGCGGTGTTCCGGCATTTAGGCTTCTGCCTGCGCGGCTGTTTCGATATAAAAAAAAAAAAAATTAGAAGGATGCGACAATATTTTCTGCAATGAAAGATTTCAATTCAAAGATCATTTGGTAGCCGCATCCCTTTTTTTCCCGAACACTTTGGAGAATACTGTAGTAAGTTTCCTGATGACAAGTTGGAAACTACCTGCTTGGCTTATCCCGAATTAGAAAAAAGTCGTTTAAAGACAGAGTTGTCTGCTATTTATGCACGGAATGATTGCCGAGATTTACATGGAACTCAGTCTCTTTTGAAATTTTTGATACAAAATAGTTTGTAGGAAACACTAAAAGAAACAAAAAAGCTATTAGAAATTATTGTTACAACTCCTATGTCAACATCAGAGGCTGATCGAAATTTCTCAACATTGAAAAGAATCAAGATCTTTCTTCGTATTACTACGACCCAGGATCGTCTTACAGCGTTGTAGATGCTGTCCATTGAAAAGGAATTTATTCCGACCATGGAAAATTCAACTGGCATATAAAAAATAGGCAAGTTCGGATTTGCAGAACACCTGTTTTATTTTGCCACGAGCCGCCAGTGCTATACGGGTATATTAACGCGTATACTATTTTCTTCGCCCTTGGCTGGTCCATAAGAACGGCATCGCGTGTTGTTGGGCAAAACATCCCCTTGATGGGGAAGTGATTATACTCCAGTCGTATTGGTGGCCAGCCCCCTTTGATAATGAATTTTAAAACTCAATTTGCGGTGGATTCATCCCTTAATCTGACGTGGCATATTTTGCGGGATCAGACCACAGGGATGAAAGAAATGACGCATCGTACGTGATATCGCATTATTTTTGATAATCTTTCTGAACGAAAAATGCTCTCAGATAATGAAATCTGTCGATGAACACCGTGATTTTTGTGACCTTGTGGCTTAGACCCTACCAATCTCTTGATGAAGGAGGGAAATGAAGTTGGGAAATGAGGTGCCTAACATAACGTAAAATAGATAATGAATGAAAATTAATATGGATATGAATAAGTATCTTTCATCAATAAAACTATTGCCTGTCTTAGGGTGGATTTCACAATTTAACAAACCATTAGTCTGCACCAATAGGGTACAAGCACCAAACAGTCCGTTAAATATACCCAATCAGCCTCAAGATCTCTCCGTCAAATTTTTGGCAGCAAATAGCATCAAGGTATTCAAAACAAAACACTGTAAACTATGAAGTGACAGCTTGCCATTGAAATCTTTTCAGTTTATTAAATATTATGAAATTATGTAAAACTGAGCCAAATTTTTTAAAAATGCTTGATGTCTGAGTAAAATCTATTTTTTCAGATTAGCTGAAGGTTTTTCAATGTTTACTGCAACTTTTGTAATCCATATGTGATTATATCACCTACTGTGTGCTTATAGTTTATCCTATATTTCCAAACTTGCACTTCAAAACCCTTATATGAAAAAGCCTTTTCACTCAAATGTTTGTTAGGTGTTGCATTTCAACACATTCATACACTTCTTTCCAGTTCCTCAACGATATTTTAACCCCACTGGTCCGAAACTGTTCAACAGTTTCAACATTCATACATACAATTGCAGTTGCAGTTGTATAATCAGTCGCACCATCGGTGATGGTACATTCAACATAACCACGTATTTAGGGGTTCGTGCAGATTTAACGTGTACACGACGTCATCATTAGGCGCTCCTCTGGCGATGTCCGATTGCGTTCAGGTGCCTTCTGCAGGTACCTCTTCACCACGGTCAGGAGTTGATACCAGCGCGGCTCTCGTTTTTTTTTTGCTCTAGGCATGGCCATCCTCAATTAATCGCACAAAAAACAAGTCCAAGGCAGAAAAACACACCCGAAGACAAACACCAAAACAAATCTCTACCGCAAATTCGTCAACAACTCAAACAGATGATTCACCACCTGGCTTTGACCGTAAATCGTCGTGGAACACGAGACACCACGGAATTATTATAATACGAGCATAGAACAGTATAGAAAGGGCTATCCAAGGGTAAGACGAGTTCCGAAACCACCCGAAAAATGGCTGTGACGTCACCAAATCGTTGACCACCACTGGAAATCACTAGCTAGTTACCATCTGGGGCGTAACATGTGGAGGACACTGGTGTAGAAACAGCTGATCCTTAAATTCGATTACGTTAAGTTGTGCATGAGCCCGACATTATTTTTCAGTAATTACTAATAATTTTAGGTCTATGTCTGCAGAAATTGCATTATGCACCTCGGAGATGTAGGGATTAACATGTTTTACACATATCGGTGTTTTAGGATGGGGATATTGTTTTGATTGCTTTGAAGATATTCATTAACCCATCAATTTATAACAAATGATTACTATTATGATGTAAAGAGAGATGAGGAATTGGTTGGAATACATTTTATATTTTATTTTCTTGCAAATCCGCACAAT